TGACCTTAAACTCACTGTGTATTCCAAGCTGGCCTTGAACTCAGGGCAACCCTCTTACCTCAGGCTCCCAAGTGTTTAGGGTTACGGTGCGCGCTACCATGTCTGGCTCTTGATAAACTTCTGAAGGGTGACTTCCTTAATTTTTGTAAAAGTTGCCAATCCTACCCTCAGCATTACTGATTATATATATGGCAAGATAAGATACTCATTTTTATATACTTCTCAGTGAACATAATCTTGATTTCACTGTTTCTTTCAGAATTCCAAATGAGAAAGGTAATATTTAAAGTTCTTTTTCCTGAGTGATAGAGTGTCTTCTGAAGTAAAGCTCAACTTTGGCTCTACTTCAGCTACCTGTAAAACTTTGAAAAGACTTATTGCATCAGAACTTGTAGGTGTTAGACTGGTCACAGGTTTTGATGTAAATGCAGGGGTAAGAGCACTACTTGTATTAAATGTTTCTGCACAAGTACTCATACCTTGAGCCAGGTATGTTGGCACATGCCTGTGATCCCAGCACTCGGGAGGCTGAGGCAGGAGGATTGTTGCAAGTTTGAGTCCATTGTGGGCTACAAAGTGAGCTGAAGGCCAGCCTGAACTGCACAGTGAGACCTGTCTTAGACGCAAAAATAAATAAATAAATTTCTTAAGAAAAAAGAAGTACCTCAAAGACGTATGTATAAAAAAGCATTTTTATGTTTCTTATGCTTGAAGTTCTGAGCCTCTGTTAGTTTAATTTGTTTTAAACAAATACTTTTGTTAAATGGTACAAGTGAACTTCTTTTTCATCTTTTGAGACAGGGTTTCATTATGCAGTTCAGGCTGCCCTTGAACTCACTTTGTAGTCCAGGGTGGGCTTGAACTCTCAGGGATCCTCCCATGTCAGTCTCAAGTGCTGGGATTACTGATGTGTACTACCACACCTGGCTCAAGTGAACATATTTAAATTTCTAATATGTACTTTCCATTCCCAGCACCTAGGAAAAGTTGAGTATGTTTGAAAATGTATGACATAAGATGGAAAGTGATGAGAGACATGGGTAAAGAGGTAGCTTTTGAAAGATTTTGAATTGATATGAAACAATTTAGACTTTTTCTTTGGATGACAGAGGGCCATTGGAGTTTTTTTTTTTTTAATTTTTTAATTTTTTAAAGTAGGGGAGCAGTGTGATCAGTTTATTTTTCTTGCTTTAAAGAAAGTAGCCTCTCCTAGCCATGCCCAGTGCGGAGCAGCTCTGGCCAGGTGCAGGGACAGGTGACATTTTTTTAAAAATTTGAATTAAGACGTCTATTCAGTGGATATACACATATCTACTATTCCAAAAGAGAAAACCAGCTTTGACAGCACAGCCATGGTGCCCAGGGTTCAACCCAAGCTGGCAAGACCAGCAAAGGAAGAAGGGCACAGGAGGGGAGGAAAGGCTTCCACCAAGAGGGCAGGAGCTTCTGAGGATGCCACCGAAGGTGACAGGAATGAGCTCGAGTTTGAAGAGGTGATGCAGACTTTCATAAGGAAACTTATGGAAGCAAAAATCACAACACCCTCAGTGAAAAGTGCAGAGAGCTCCTGGCGCAGAAAGGAGAGACAAAAAGTAAAAGGTTCAACGTCGTTGGTAGAGAAGACGGAGGATGCCAGCGCAGGCGAGGATGCCGAAAGCTTGAGTTCCAGAAGAAAACCAGGTGCGCGCGGGGGGGGGGGGGGGAGGGAAGAGCGTGGACACAGCTCGCGTGGGCCGTGGGGGCCAAGGGAAGGCGCGCCCTCCACGGGGCCAAGTCAGAAGGAGTGCGGGAGCAGCCTCGCCCAGGAACGAGGGACAGAGAGGCCGTGAGGCCCTGGGAGACCTTCGGAAAGGAGAGGCCGGAGAGCGAGAGTCAGCGGAGGAAACGGGAGCAGGAAGAACCCTCGCAGACCCGAGGAAGGAAGAGCGGGCTGCAGAAGAAGAAGGCCGGCCAGGGGCTGAGGGTGCCGCCTTGACGCTGGCGGCTGACTTGTCCGCAACGCCGGAAGTCGGCAGGCAGTGGGCTCACATCTTCTGCGTTTTGGGAAAAAACGGTTTTGACCCTAAGTTTCTATGCAAGGTTGAACTGGCATTTAAATGCAGTGGTGAAGTCCAGGCCTTCTCAGACCTGCAAGAGCCTCAGGTGCTTTGCCAGCCAGAAAGCTTTCATGAGAGATTTGCTGAAAGATGCTTTCCCACGGAGTGCAAACTCACGCGGAGAAGGATGGCAACGTGGGATTCAAAGAAAGGGGGAGAACCCTCTAAGAGCCTCAAAGTGTGGAGCTGGAGACCCAGCGAGTGAGGGCTTTAACTTGCTGTTCATTAAAGAGGTGAGGGTGACTGGGGCTCAGGCGGGGAGCTCAGCGTCTTTGGAGTGGGAGGGAAAGGAAAGCCCCAAGATGGGGGAGCAGGAGGACTTATGGCTAGCAGAGGAGGAAGAAGAGAGCTCTGGAGAGGAGGAGGAGGAGGAAGAAGGGATGTGGGGGGAGGAGGAAGAAGAGGAGGGGGAGGAGGAAGGGATGTGGCTGGAGGAGGAAGAGGAAGAATCCTGGGGGGAGGAAGAAAACTCAGAGACTGACAAGGAGGGAAAAGGAAACTCTGAGACAGGGGAGGAGCAGGATGGAGGAGGAAGCCCAAGGACAGAGGGAGAAGGGGGCCTCAGTGCTGCAAGAGGGACTTGCCTGTAGTCAGCAGAAGGAAAGGCCGGTGCAGACCCAGGGGGAGCACAAGGCCAAGCTGCAGGAAATGGCTGCTTCCAGAGGTCAAGGAATCGAAGTTTTCCATCTGACTTTGCATCACAGTGCTCTCTGGAAATTACTAGAGTGAAGTCCCAGTGAGCACAAAACGTGTTCACGGGCAAATCCAAGTGCTTCATCAGAAATCACCAAGTTTTTAGGGAAAACAAAGAGAGGAACAAGACTCTGCAGATGAAAGAGCTGATGTCTGAAGAAATAGCCTTAATCCAGGAAACAGAAGAAAACTTCAGAAGAAGCGTGGTGGGCATCTTCAGAGAGATACAAGAGGAGATGGAGCACAGAAGGAAATGTTGCCCCAATGTCATGGAAGTTAAGCATTCGATAGACAACCTGCACCGCAAGGTAGCCCAGGAAAGAGTGAGCTGTCTGAACAGCCAAGTGGAAGAGGCCTCCAGGGACACAGCGCAGATGTCCAGGCAGCTACTGAATAATGAGAAACTTCACATCCGAGAAGACGAATTCAGAAGCTCCAACGTCCGTGTGATGGGAGTCCCAGAAAAAGATAACAAAGCGAACGAGGCAGAGGACATAATTAAACAAATCATTAAAGAAAACTTTTCAGAGCTGAGGAGGAGCTCAAGGCTTGAGATCGTCAGTGCTCAGCGAGTCCCCAGCAAGGTGGATGAGAGAAAGCTCACTCCTGGACACATCTTGGTGACATTCTGAGACCCAGTGAGAGAGAGAAGATCCTGAAGGCCTCACAAGAGAGAGAGGTGACCTACGTGGGCTGGAGGATCCGGCTGATGGCAGACTTCTCGCTGAGCACGCTGGACGCCTGGACGCCCGGAGCCAGTGGTGCAACATCGTGAGACTCATGCATGAGAACGGCTTCCACCCGCAAATCCGGTACCCAGCCAGACTGGCCTTTGATTTTGAGGGCCAAACAAGAACATTTATTGATATTGATGAATTCAGAAGATTTGTTTGCCATGTACCCTCTTTGAAAGGATTACTAGAGAAGGTACTCTAGGGTCTAGGTGGCTGCAGCAAGCAGCAGCGTGCTTTCCCCACCAACACCCAGGAGGGCGCGGCGAAGGGAGCATCGCGTCTGTACCTGCAGGGTGGGCATTCGACAGCTTTGCTGGTGCAGCAAAGGGAACGTTATTACCTGGACACCGTTAAAAGCTGTACTTCTAAATTTTAATGATCATCATAGCTGGCATAGAAGGTTTGTTTGTATGTTTGTTTGTTAACAAGAGAATGAACCCAGAGTGTTTGCTCTGAGCTATGTTTTCAGCCCTTGAGAAAAGTTTCTAGACAGGTCTCACTAAGTTGCCCAGGCTGGGGCTCACCTGTGACCTCCTGCCTCAGCCTCCTTAGCTGGGATCCAGCTCAGGAGGGAGTGTCACCACAGGAAACTTCGCAATAAAGATTTTTCACTTGGGGGGGGGGGGAGAAAGTAACCTTCCAACTGTATTGAGCATAGATTAACATGGAAGAGAAAACTATGTCTATGGGAAGCAAGTGTGTGCAACTGGTTATGAGGAACAGTATGAATAAGACAAAATTGGGGCTGGGGAGATGGCTCAGTAGAATAAGCGCTTCCCTGGTAAGCACAAGAGTATGAGTTCAATCCCCAGTTCCAATTAAAAAAAAAAAAGGAGAAAATTGAATTCTGACCCAGTAGTTACCTATTTAGTTCAGAGCCTTCAGCTCCATCCAGTTTTCTTTACTTTTTATTCTAAGACTTAGCTAAAATTGTTTAGGCTTTGCTGGGAGCTCTTCTCTGATACCTTCCTTTCAACTTTCTCTTTTTGATAGTATCTCTATAAATGGTGTATATCTAAATGTATCTATATATGAGGTGTGTGTATTCATAATTTTAAAGTTGAGTGGTTGTGTAGCATTATACATTAATAATTTTTAAAGTTGAATATTAATATTTAACTGCATATAAAATCCTTTAGAAGATTTATGTTTAAAATGTTCTCATTAAAAGAAAATATTTTCATTCGTTCCTTATGTTAAATAGTAAGTTCTTTGCCAAAATAAAGTGTTATTTTCCTTGGGAATCACTTAAAACATTTGTGCCTCCTCTGGTTTATAATCCTGTTAAATTCCATCCATGAATTGAAGCCTAATTATACACAGTTGGTGAACTCTAGATATAGACAATTCAGTGTACAATAGAAATTAAGTTTACTTACTGGAGCATTATGAAATATTGAAAATACTCCATATTGGGTTTAAGAAAAAATGGTTCTTGGGAATTAACTAAATGTAATTGTCTCTGTTTTTTTTTTAGCCCATATGTTGTAAAGTACTATGGCAGTTACTTTAAGAACACAGACCTTTGGATTGTTATGGAGTACTGTGGAGCTGGCTCTGTCTCAGACATAATTAGATTACGAAACAAGACAGTAAGTATTTTAAAATTGTTTTTCTAATCCTGTTTCTAAAGATTCCTATTTTAGACTCTGACCAGCTAGTATTTTGTTACAAATAAAATATTAACGTGAAAAAGAAAAATCTTTTAAGTGATTGAAGAGATTTAAAATGAGATCTGAGAACCAGCCACGTGTCTGTCTGTGATAAATTTAAGAACTGTATGATTGTTTGTTGATTAGAATAATTTTTAGTAAGTCCCTAAGGAACTACCATGATACTTTTTGTATTCATTTGGATCAGTATTTGTGTGTGTTTTATTAATGTAAGCTTATTATATTATGGCTAGAATTTTATTTTTAAAAATCATAATATTCCTGATATTTCCTTATTGTAATTTTTCTGTATTATAATCAACAATTGGCAAGTAATTGAAGAAATTACATGTTACTGAATATTTAAAAACAGTTGAGTTGGGTAAATGTGGCATGGTTGTAATTTCAGTACTTTAGGAGTGTGAGACAAGAAGATTCCAAGTTGGAGCCCAGCCTGAGCAGTTTATTGACCTAGCAAGAACCTATCTCTAAATAAAATTTTTAAAAAGCCTGGGATTGTAGCTCAGTATGAAAGTCTTGGATTCAGTCTCTAATATCACCAACAAACAAACAAACAATTAAATCAAAAGAAAAAAATATTTTGTATTTATTTTCACAAACATCCAGATATTTAAAATTTGTAGAATTAGATTATTCATGTTTTTATTTTCATGAAATCAGCATAGTGATATGTTACTTAATAAAAGCTTTAATGGCTATATTTTAACCATAAGTAGGAAGGGTGCAGTATTTGCAAAATATTTTACTTTAGACTAGCAGTTTGTCTATTTTTTTTTTTTTTTTTGACAGTATTTTAGTACTATAGTGACCTTTTTTATGTGTGAGTGCCTAAGAAGAATAGTGGAATGATTTGTAACTCGCTAGAACAGTAATTCAATTACTATCTGACATTATTATATGTTGTCAGACACATTTCAGTAAAATACAGTCAGAAAAAAATACTTAGCTGCTTGAGTCAATTTGTGGTTAACCAGAATCATTTTAAAGTTTGATTGGGGAAATACACTGTAAATTTATCCTACTAATTTTTTTGTCTGTTAGTAAATAGGATTTCTTTGTAAAGGATGTGAAACAGAAGTTAAAGTAATCCCTGGTTTGACAGAATGGATTAAGTGATCTGTGACATTCTAATTACATATTTTAGAATTTCTGTGGTGCTTAACTAGCATTTATGTAAATAAGATGACTGAAGTGGCCAGAACAATGCTTTAATTCAAAATAATTGTACTCCAGTTAGAAAATTTTTAAAATCATTTCAGGGCTAAACTCAATGAATTTGGTATTTAAGATTATTAAATAGGAATGTAAAGTAAAAGCAGGAGAAAAATATCTCTTTTTATGTTTTTGGGCATTAATGCTACTGTTTTAAATGCATAGGAGTCTTTGATCCAGGAAATTTATTTCTTATTGTCATTATTTACAAGATGTGGATGTATCCTGTAGTTCCTAAAGATAGGATAGGAGTGTTTGTAATCATTATTCTCAAAAATTCTCTTCACCAGTTATCAAAGAAAGATTTTACCGCTTCATATTCTGCACTAGAAAACAGTTTACTAAGTGTGTTGGGAGTTACACATTAGGCATAGTCTAATAGTTGTCACAGAACAGTTGTCCTTGGTTATAGGGTGGCATGAGAAAAATTCTAATTACTATATATGAAAAAATATCCAAAGCTACACAAGAGATTGGCCAGGAATCAAAGTTTGTTGCTTTGATGACAACACCTGTAAGATCTCAAGAACATTAACATCTTTCTTTTGCATCATGAGGACATTCCTCATTGTTTATCTATACTCTAAAGAGTATCATTATTGTTAAGGTGAGCCATATAAGGATATGTGTTGGATGTGAGGGTGATGTGGCTCAGACATCTGTTACCCCATTAGGTGCTAGGGTTGATTCAGCTGATCTCGTTGGCTAAGGGGGTGTCCCCTTCCTTCCTCACTGCTCCATATGCATTCCTGCAGAAGCTGGATGGTAAGTGTAAGAGGACGACTAGCCCACCTCTACTCCATGGAGGAGGACTGTTTTCCCTGGTCAAGGGTATGTGAGTAGCTGTACTCCCTGCTAAAATCTCCAAACAAGTTCTCAAGGATATGTATCATCTCTTTCTCTCTCTTTTCTTTAAATACTCAGACATTGCAAATATTTCATTATTTTATGGGAATGTTCACTGAAATGATAATCTTGATTTATCTGAATTTCAAAGGCATGGTTGTTACTGACTGACTAGCTTTCAAGAGTGTGACTAGTTGAAATAGTTGTCATTCATCTATTCAACAGGTATAAAATTCACTCTTGAAGTTGTTTTCATGGTCATAAAACAAATCTTTTCTTCTTTTTCTTTTTTTTTTTTTGTGGAACCGGGGATTGAACTCAGGCCCTTGTGCTTGCCAGGTAATCGCTTATTCCACTGAGCCATCTCCTTGGCCCCACAAATCTTTTCTTAAGACTATGAAAGCTTTTTTTTAAGGGTTTATGTGCTTTCTTGCTTTTTGTTATGTGCTTTATTCTTCAGTACATACTTTTTAAATAGTATAAGGAATCATTTTTTTGTATTATCAGTATTCCTGTTTATCTGTGTACTCTATTTATGCATCGTATTGCTGTTTGTTCCCTTTTACATTTCCAAGTTGCCTGTAGAACTTCTATTTATATTTCCTTATGTGTAGGTAAAATGGTGACTAGGTCTTTTTTTTGTTTGTTTGTTTGTTTTTTAGATGAAAGTATACTTCGCTACATTTTTGAACTATATAATTAAACTGTAAAGAATTTTAAATTGGCAGTTTCATTTAGTATTTGAAGATATTGCTTCATAATCATCTAGTTTCCTTTGTCTTTACTGATAAATCGTGCTGTTGCTTTGTTGATGGTAATCTTATCATTTTTTTTTTTTTTTCTCATGGCTTTTAAGACTTACATTTGGGTTTCAAACTCTTTACTTTGATGTACTGTACTTGGCATTTATCACTGTGGGGTTCTTATTACATCTTGTTTCTGCATCTTAATATTTACAGTCAGTTTTAGAAAACTCAATTATTATCACTTTAAGCAATATATTTGGTCCAGTCTCTCGATTTTTCTGGGCTTCAAATTATGTGTAATTTAGTTTTTCTTCCTTTCTTTATGTACTGTTTCAGATTTCTTTTTTCTCCTCCATTCTTATTTTTTCTAATGCATCTTCACTAGTTCTTTCTTTTCAAGTATCTAATCTGCTTGTAAATCATCCACTGAATTTTAAATTTTAGTGTTTAGATTCTAGAATTTCTATTCAATTATTTTTAAAAGTCTCCCAACTCCATACAAAAATTAAAAAGCCTATCCTTTATTTCATAGAACCTACTGTAGTCTTCATTTTCTCAATCTCCTATGTGTCTATTTCCATTATTTATCTTGGTTTGCATACATATTTGTTTCTTTGTGCCTGGTTATCTTTGAAAGAGTGATAGACATTATCTAAAAAATAACAGATTATTGTGATGAATGATGGCACCTTTTTCTACCATTTTGTTTCTACCTGGTAGCTAGAACTTCATAATCTATAGATTGCTGTAATCTAATCAGAGTTACTGACAACTTGAATTTGGGCTTTGATCTCCCCTTAGAGAATATACTCCTTTAGTATTATGGTATTCAATTTCTTGGCGGGTTTTGGTTTCCAGTCTTTGTTCTCTTTGTCCTATGAGACATTCAAAAGCTTGCTCTGCTAAGCTTCTTGATCCCTATTCCATAATTTACAGATACCTTGAGAGAAGTGGCCCTTGTTGCTAGGCTTACCTCTTAGGTTTTCTTTCCTCAGATCTTGACTGCAGGCACTGCTGTTGTATCTTTATTGGTCTTCAGACAGACTTTGAAATATAGTTTGTCCAGATGTTTTAGTTCTCTCAGCAAGAGAGTGGTCTGAATTATCTAGTATATCATTACTAGAAGTGCAAGGCTTTTCAGCTTGAATTTTTTAACAGTTTGGTCTTGTGTCTTGTTTACTTTTGTGGGTGATATCAGGAAGGGATCCTTTTTATTTTCTGTGTAGAAATCTCATTTTATAACCACCCTTTCCAACTGATGTATAAGCCTACTGTAAGATTCTCTATAGATACCTGACTTTTTTTTGGGTTCATTGTACGAGTTGTTACATTGATTCGTCTGTTTCATGTTTGATATCTAGCTTATAAGTTACTTTGTCTTTGTTTTTTTTCACTTCCTACATGACTTTTAGACTAAGTTGTCAAATTCCACAAAAAGCCTTACTGGGCTTTTGTGATAATTACATTTAACTCTCTGGATTAATTTGGGTTGATGGTTATTTTGCCATTATGGTCATCCTGTATCTCTGCTTTTATCTTTAGGTGTCCTAATAAATCTTGAAAATTTTGTGTATTTTAAGTTTGATTTGTTTGTAGAGATTTGGGCATTTTTATTGCTACCATGAATGATGTTTTTAAATTATATTTTCTAGTTAATTGTGATATGAGTATTACTTTTATATATCTTGTTATTCAGTGTTGCTCAGTCCCCTTTGCTTTTGGTCCCCTTTTGATTGTCTTGCTTGATTTTATGAGTTAGTCATTCGCTTGTTTACTTTCTATCCAACTACTCTTCTTTTAATTCAGTTCATAAAGTCTTATATAATAAGGTTCTTGTCAAATGGCTACTTAATCTAGATAGTCATTTAAGAGCTTTGTTCTCGTTACTGAATTCCATGCATCCGTTTCTTGATGGGGACTTCTCAGACATCACCTGCATCTGCTTTTACTCTGGCATGTGGAATGTCTAATAGAGCCACTGAAATGACTTTTCCAGTGATTACCTCTTTAAAATTAATTTAGGTATGGTTTGTGGGTTTAAAACTTTATGTGTTTATTTTGTATAAGTTTTTTTGTGCAATTTAGGTATGCATAGTGACCACATTTATTATAGGG